CGAGTTTCGCCGCGGAAGTTTCTTTCCCAAGCGAACGGCAGGATCCCTGTCCTCCCCACGGGCATAGATTTCGTCGAACAAAACCCAGCTTGTTTCTCGGGGCAGAGTTCCCGAGAGTGCGCGCAATTCCTCTCACTGTGTCCCGTCGCCGAATCGAGATGATTCAAAAGGCGAGAAAGTGGCAATATTTTATTATGGTCGTAAATACGTGCGTGACCTTATTGTAAAAGAATTACTTTCTTCTAGGAGGGTTGTGAGCCAAAGTAGTTCAATAAGTGCCTTTTTTTTTTTTCTATTTGTTTCTTAGCTGGAATATCCAAGCAGTGCCTTGAACAAATATATGTATTTGTTTAAACCACTTTAATTTGGTTTTTTGCTTTCTTAAATTGCACCCTTGAGGTTTAAATCTGGCTAAATCCCACTTGCTTCATTGAAACTGGGCTAAATTTAAATGGAGCTAATCTAGGGAGTAAAACGTTCGGGCTTTGGCTTAGGACCACATTTGAACTGAAAGAAGACGACATTGTGGGGTTTTTTTCTCTTTTGTTTTTATTGTTCTTGCTTTATTTGTCTTATGCTGCTTCCTGTTTTTTAAGGCAAAGGACCAAATATTACTGCTAAAAAGGCAAGAAAAGAAAACTTGTTATATTCTAACCTGTTTAATTTTCCCCTGACGCACTTGTGATTTCTGTTTCTCACTTCCAGTTCTTCCTGTGTTCAGTTTATGTCCCGATGTGCACAGAGAAGATTAACATCCCCATAGGTCCCTGTGGTGGCATGTGCCTCTCTGTCAAAAGACGATGTGAACCCGTTTTAAAAGAATTTGGATTTGCCTGGCCAGACAGCCTCAACTGCAGCAAATTCCCACCCCAGAATGATCACAACCACATGTGCATGGAGGGCCCAGGAGACGAAGAGGTTCCCCTTCACAGCAAAACCTCCTTGCAACCTGGAGAAGAGTGCCACAGCATGGGATCTAACTCGGATCAGTACATCTGGGTGAAGAGAAGCTTAAACTGTGTCCTGAAGTGCGGCTATGATGCTGGTCTCTACAGCAGGTCAGCTAAGGAATTCACAGATATCTGGATGGCTGTGTGGGCCAGTCTTTGCTTCATCTCAACTGCCTTCACAGTCCTGACCTTCCTGATTGATTCAACCAGATTTTCCTACCCGGAGCGTCCAATCATATTTTTGAGCATGTGCTACAATATTTATAGCATTGCTTATATTGTGAGGCTAACTGTGGGCCGGGAAAGGATATCCTGTGATTTTGAAGAGGCAGCAGAACCTGTTCTTATCCAAGAAGGTCTTAAGAACACAGGATGTGCTATAATTTTCTTGCTGATGTACTTTTTCGGGATGGCTAGCTCCATCTGGTGGGTTATTCTGACACTGACGTGGTTTCTGGCTGCAGGACTCAAGTGGGGCCACGAAGCTATTGAAATGCACAGCTCATATTTCCACATTGCAGCCTGGGCGATCCCGGCGGTGAAGACCATTGTCATACTGATTATGAGACTAGTAGATGCAGATGAGCTCACCGGTCTTTGCTATGTTGGGAACCAGAACCTAGATGCGCTGACGGGCTTTGTTGTCGCTCCACTTTTTACCTACCTTGTCATTGGGACTTTATTCATTGCAGCAGGACTTGTGGCCTTATTTAAAATCAGGTCGAATCTCCAGAAAGATGGAACTAAAACTGACAAACTGGAAAGACTGATGGTCAAAATCGGTGTCTTTTCAGTGCTGTACACCGTCCCAGCAACATGTGTCATTGCCTGTTATTTCTACGAAATCTCTAACTGGGCTGTTTTCCGCTATTCCGCAGATGATTCCAATATGGCAGTGGAGATGCTCAAAATTTTCATGTCCCTTTTGGTGGGTATTACATCAGGTATGTGGATCTGGTCAGCCAAAACTCTGCACACGTGGCAGAAGTGCTCGAACAGACTGGTGAACTCAGGGAAAGTGAAACGGGAGAAGAGAGCAGATGGTTGGGTGAAACCTGGGAAAGGGAATGAGACTGTGGTATGAGAAAAGGATGACACCTCGATGGTTGATGGTCTGACTGCTCTCCTGTGAAGGACTGCCCGTGTGTAAGCGTTGCTGTGTAAATGTTGGGAGTAGAGTAGGGAGACAGTTACACATCCTGTCTCTAGGAAATGGAAAAAAAAGCCTTAAAGAATAAACAGCAAAAAGATCATGCTGCAGATGCAATAGCCAAAACCCATGCTGCCTAAAATAGGAGAGCCCAGGGAGGCTTTAAAAGCTGTGAAATACCCAAACACATCTTGCCTTTTTTTTTTTTTTTTTTTTTTGCTTAAGCAGAATGCAATTACTGAAGTCTTTAGAAGCTGAGGGGCTGTAGCCCACAGCTGTGGGATGATGTTTTCCTTTCATCATCTTACAGCTGATGGAGAAAAAGCAGTCTGGGGCCAAATTCCGGGCTTATTTAGGGTCCAGTTATCAGAAGGTGGAGCACCCAGGACCTCAGTTAGAAGTCTTCTTTCCAAGTTCAGCATCAAGAAGGAAGTGCTTGACAAGGATTGTGTCTTTATGCCCTGGGGAATTCTGCTGTTCCCATACACTGCACATGTCAGCCAATAAATACCAAATGGATTTTCCAGGTCTAAGCATTACCAATGATGAGTGAGGTATTAGTGAGGATGATTCTTTAAATCATCTGATGGTCTTATAATAATTTCAACTCATTCTTTTTGCGATTTCTAACCTGGTCTGAATTGAGAATTGACTCTGCCTTGTGGGAATTTGGACCTCCATGGGTCTCTTCTCACCTGAATTATTCTGTGGTCCTGTCAATATTTCTTATTTTTCTAAAGCTTTAGTCAAGGCCATTGTCAGAAGTAGATAAGTCAGTGAGACCTGGGACATTGTATGGTCTTCTGCATTGATTATTGTTATCTGTTTACCTCCATTCCTGTCCCTTCAGGTGCTCCTGCTATTTCCAGCAGACTACTTTATTTTGCTGCGTTTAATAGCTTTAAATAAAGTCTTACAATATAGTGTTCCTTCTTCCAGGAAAGAGAAGAATGAGTTGAGGGTACCTTCAAACAATGCCAGTTTTCTCCAAGTAAACTTATCTGTCTCTCTCTGGAGGTCCGTTGCATGAAGCAATTATGTCTTAATATATTTCATTCAGTGTGATGGTATCGCTGCAGACGCCAGTCTGGGGAGAAGCAAAATGTTAAGTTCCTTGGCAACCTCATGTTCACACAGATCAGTTGTGTAATTATGTGTGTCAGTTGCAATTAAAAGAACATTCTCAGCCCATGACATCGCAGTACAGCTGACTGCCTCACAACGATGCTTCAGTTGCTCACTGACAGCTATGGAGAGGGTTTTTTAATGTGTATTTACACACAGAATATGAACAGGCATTCAGTGCTCAGGAATGACAAAGACATTTCCAGTTTTTGTAAAGTGATCCAAAAGAAGAGATCCAGCTTTTTGGTGAATAATGTTGTTCCAAAGCAACTGTTGAGTTTTCTTATTTTATTTGAGGTGGCATCAGCTTGTGCTCCTGGAGAACTTGAACCTTTGTCAGGGCCTTGTTTGGCTAATAAGAAAGGTGATGCAAATAGAAATATCCCAGAAGCATGTAAGAGTACATTGTTGTGATGCTCTATCCCTTTGAAAGACCTTTGGTTTTATCTGTGTGCCTTCAATTTTTACTTGCATATGTTTATGTGGAACCTGGTCAGCTGCAGAGCATCTGCCTGGTGCCCTGACTGGCACAACCTTCAAGGCCAGCTGAGAACAGTCACTGTTTTATTAAAGTACTTGCTTTTCACACAGGTGCTCATATGCTTCTCAAACCACAGTTCGTTCCTGCTCTGGAAGTGGGCACTAATCCGTCCCAGAAGCATGTATTGTTTCAATGTCAGTGTCGAAATACGAGCTGGAGCACTTTTTTTTTAAAAGCAAAAAAACAAATCCCAAACAAACCCTAATTGCAGTCTTTGTGGTTGGGCTCTCTTTCCAGTAGAACAAGTGACAACTTGACACATTCTGCTCAAGACGCAAAAGCATTGTCTTGGCCAACTCTACATTCCAGCCAGGCCTTTTCATGTTCTCCATAAAATCTTCTGCTATTAGTGTTGTGTTTGTATCTGGTTATTCCTCTGTGGACAAGGAGTTCTGCAAGAATGAGATCTTTAGATGGCAAAGCGTCTCCTACTGTGTTTCTGCTGGTGCAGCAAGGGATTTAAAGTCAGCAGCTATATGTTGGTTTTCAAGGAGTGAGGGCACAGTGTGATCCTTCTCTTGTAGCCTAGTATTGGCCTGTGTCAAGGTGTCATGTTCACTCAAGTGTCCTCCATTCTGGAAGACTTTGGATACTCTCCTGGTCAATATGGCCCATGTTTGACCTGACTGATTCAGTAGATGGCATTTTGAACCATGTTATGTGCACAGAAGTGATTGCTAAGTAGTACCTTGTTATCAGATCCCTGCGTCTCTGCCTGTGACTCTGTGAACTGTGAGAGGGATGCCCCCAGTGATGTAAGATGATGTGAGCTGGATGAGGATAGCACTGTGTAGCCCCATGAGAGAGACCTGGGGAGACTCATATGCTATGGGGAGGAGGTGGGCTGGGAAAAGACACCAGCTGCTGTTCCTGAAGGAACATCTTTCCCCAGCAGTTGGGGGGATACTGTACTGACCCAAAGTGAAATGAACTGTTGCAGTAACTAAACCATTCCATAAATGTATTCACCCACGTGCGTTTACCTGGCTGCATTTTGGGGCTGTATGAGTGGGAAGTTGCAGTAGATAGCCTAAAATCTGGCAGTTGCAAAGAGTGGGTATCAGCAACTCTTAGGTTCTCTTGTTTCAACATTGTTATGAATCTAAAGCCAAAACTGGCATGACTAATCCTGTCTCGGAAGTGCAGTTGCTGTGGGTATACAACTAGAAACTTTACAGACATTTCCTTCAATTGCGCAGTCCCTGCTCCTGTCTCCCCCCTCAGCATGTGCTCTTCTCACTGCAGGTTTTGGAAGCATCTGCCAGAGAGGTACAAGCTTAGCTCTTACGTTAAACAGACAAGTTAAATCCTTTTTTTGAATATCAAGGAAATAGACATTGATTATTTTGGGGTGTACAGAAAATATATCTACTTCAATGTATGTACTGTAAATTTCTAATTTATCACTGTAAAAAAACCCAAAACAACTTTGCTATTTAATTTTTATATCAAAATAAAACTTTAACCTCTGTGGATATCTAAGGAATTCCTGGCAGCCTTCATGTTTTTGGTGAGTTTGTTTCTTAAATTGGCTTCAGCATTGTTTGAAATGCTTTTTCCCCCTGAAGGAAGAAGGACTGAAATGCTCATTCTGCCGTGAAGGAATGCTCCAAATGGGTTAGTCCAGCACGGTTTGGATCTAAATGTGCATTGTGAAGAACAACTAAGAACAACAGTGAAAGTATGGGGCAACAGTGAAAGTATGTTCATGCTTCTGCACCTGAGGTGGACAGAAACTCTTTCAAAGACATCACACAGGTCCCAGGTGCTGGCTGAGGATGCAGTTGGAGCTTTGGGCTGGACTAAGCATGTCCCGAAATCCCAGTGGGAGGGCAAGATGGAAGCACAGCCGTCCGCTGCTGTAGCATTGCTGTGATGTGACTCCTAAGATGAGCAGCTCCACCTGTAAGGCTCCTTTTTATTTCAGGTATTATGAAATATGTGCATCCAAGATGAGCATTCAGAGCCAGGGGGGCAGTGTCACCACCTGCCTGTTCAGTAAGTGTGAACTATTAGTGGCTTTGAAAGGGGAAAATTCTGATCTTAGTAACGTGCTTGAAATGATTTCACTTCTATAGGTGATTTCAGTGATTTCAATGATTGAATCAGAACAGATTCAACCGAATGTCTACATTTTCTAGCAATAGTTTTCTAAAAAAATAAGCATATTGGCTCTCTTCATTCCTTTTTGTTATTTCTGTTCACAGTTGGAATGTACAGTAACAGCAAGTAGTTACTTTTTTGGGTGCATCCCGCCCCAGTTTCTCTGACACTGATAAAGCAGTTCACAATATTAGTCATCTAAACCCACTTAATTGTCTCCATCATGAAACATTCTGTGTGTGGGATGACTTAATTAGCACAATGTTATTCTAATAAAAACATAAATCAGACCAGAGTGGATAACAGTGAGGGTGCACTATGAAGAAGACAGTGGGAACTATCACCCGTGTATCTGTAGCTAATCAAGCTTTGAAGAGCAGCATCTAAAACTGGTAATTATGTGTGTTTGCTCATGCCTTTGGCAGCTCATCACTGTACTGTTCTCAGGCTGGTGATTAATGAGATCTCTAAAACTTATCGTAAGAAGCCTTTAATAAAACTACTGTTGGCTGTAACAAACATTAAAGAGCTTCTGGGTGAGGGAGCAGGATCTCCCTCTTGTTATTCACACCACCAGAGAAGCTCAGGCATGCTGTTCAAGATGGTATGGGCTGCTCCAGGTCTCTCTTACGGCTGCTTGCCTTTGCACATTTCCATCACATCAGGTGTCTCATAGCATCACCTATAAAGTGGCAGTGGATTGCTGGGGTGACTTTGAATGGTGAACAACCTCCCCAAGCCACTAGGATAACAAATCAGGCCAAGTTTGCCTGTTGGGATTAATATGTATCTGTATGCGAAACACAAAAAATACCCTTTGTGAGGATTTCATGTAGTTGTTTCGCTATTTAGGCTTGGGGTTTTTTTGCATGGTTGGTTTTGTCTTCTTTTTTTAAAGCTGCCTTTAAAGAAAGCAAATGTTAGGGAGTTTGTAGCAAAGGAGACCAGAGATCTGCTGCCAGAAATCAGGAGCAGCCTAAGCTCCAGTAATGTGAAAATGTGGTATCATGAGACCCTGGCTTCAGCGGTGGAGTTTCCGCCATACCTCCTCTGTCCTCAGCCACTTATTCCCACAACAGTACTGCATTTCAGCTCCTCCTTTGCTTTGCCAGTGCATCTACTTGTAGCACAGTGCTGCAGAGCAGATCAGCAAAAAGATCAGTGTTAGAAATAACCATCAATTTTTTTTGCTTTGTTTTACGATGGAAGTTTAATTTTATCTTGGATCATGTCAGGGGTCTTGTGGCAGCCCCACCAAGAGCTGTACTGATGCAAGTGAGGCAGCAGGACCTGCTGGGGGAGCCAGGGTCTGGCTAACACTGCTTTGACTCCTGC